CACTCACCTGCTCTGCCGCAACCACTCACCTGCTCTGCCGCACCACTCACCTGCTCTGCCGCACCACCTCACCTGCTCTGCCGCACCACTCACCTGCTCTGCCGCACCACTCCACCTGCTCTGCTGCACCACTCACCTGCTCTGCTGCACCACTCACCTGCTCTGCTGCACCACTCACCTGCTCTGCTGCACCACTCACCTGCTCTGCTGCACCACTCACCTGCTCTGCTGCACCACTCACCTGCACCACTCACCTGCTCTGCCGCACCACTCACCTGCTCTGCCGCACCACTCACCTGCTCTGCCGCACCACTCACCTGCTCTGCCGCACCACTCACCTGCTCTGCCGCACCACTCACCTGCTCTGCCGCACCACTCACCTGCTCTGCCGCACCACTCACCTGCTCTGCCGCACCACTCACCTGCTCTGCCGCACCACTCACCTGCTCTGCCGCACCACTCACCTGCTCTGCCGCACCACTCACCTGCTCTGCCGCACCACTCACCTGCTCTGCCGCACCACTCACCTGCTCTGCCGCACCACTCACCTGCTCTGCCGCACCACTCACCTGCTCTGCCGCACCACTCACCTGCTCTGCCGCACCACTCACCTGCTCTGCCGCACCACTCACCTGCTCTGCTGCACCACTCACCTGCTCTGCTGCACCACTCACCTGCTCTGCCGCACCACTCACCTGCTCTGCTGCACCACTCACCTGCTCTGCCGCACCACTCACCTGCTCTGCCGCACCACTCACCTGCTCTGCTGCACCACTCACCTGCTCTGCCGCACCACTCACCTGCTCTGCTGCACCACTCACCTGCTCTGCCGCACCACTCACCTGCTCTGCTGCACCACTCACCTGCTCTGCTGCACCACTCACCTGCTCTGCCGCACCACTCACCTGGCTCTGCTGCACCACTCACCTGCTCTGCCGCACCACTCACCTGCTCTGCCGCACCACTCACCTGCTCTGCCGCACCACTCACCTGCTCTGCCGCACCACTCACGCTGCTCTGCCGCACCACTCACCTGCTCTGCCGCACCACTCACCTGCTCTGCCGCACCACTCACCTGCTCTGCCGCACACTCACCTGCTCTGCCGCACCACTCACCTGCTCTGCCGCACCACTCACCTGCTCTGCCGCACCACTCACCTGCTCTGCCGCACCACTCACCTGCTCTGCCGCACCACTCACCTGCTCTGCCGCACCACTCACCTGCTCTGCCGCACCACTCACCTGCTCTGCCGCACCACTCACCTGCTCTGCCGCACCACTCACCTGCTCTGCCGCACCACTCACCTGCTCTGCCGCACCACTCACCTGCTCTGCCGCACCACTCACCTGCTCTGCCGCACCACTCACCTGCTCTGCCGCACCACTCACCTGCTCTGCCGCACCACTCACCTGCTCTGCCTGCACCACTCACCTGCTCTGCCGCACCACTCACCTGCTCTGCCGCACCACTCACCTGCTCTGCCGCACCACCTCACCTGCTCTGCCGCACCACTCACCTGCTCTGCCGCACCACTCACCTGCTCTGCCGCACCACTCACCTGCTCTGCCGCACCACTCACCTGCTCTGCCGCACCACTCACCTGCTCTGCCCGCACCACTCACCTGCTCTGCCGCACCACTCACCTGCTCTGCCGCACCACTCACCTGCTCTGCCGCACCACTCACCTGCTCTGCCGCACCACTCACCCTGCTCTGCCGCACCACTCACCTGCTCTGCCGCCACCACTCACCTGCTCTGCCGCACACTCACCTGCTCTGCCTGCACCACTCACCTGCCTCTGCCGCACCACTCACCTGCTCTGCCTGCACCACTCACCGCTATGCCGCACCACTCACCTGCTCTGCCGCACCACTCACCTGCTCTGCCGCACCATTCCACTCACCTGCTCTGCCGCACCACTCACCTGCTCTGCCGCACCACTCACTGCTCTGCCGCACCACTCACCTGCTCTGCCGCACCACTCACCTGCTCTGCCGCACCACTCACCTGCTCTGCCGCACCACTCACCTGCTCGGCCGCACCACTCACCTGCCTCTGCTGCACCACTCACCTGCTCTGCGCACACTCGACCTGCTCTGCCCCCCTGCTCTGCACACTCACCTGCTCTGCTGCACCACTCACCTGCTCTGCCGCACCACTCACCTGCTCTGCCGCACCACTCACCTGCTCTGCCGCACCACTCACCTGCCTTCTGCACGCCACCACTCACCTGCTCTGCTCGCACCACTCACCTGCTCTGCCGCACCACTGCACTGCTCTGCCGCACCACTCACCTGCTCTGCCGCACCACTCACCTGCTCTGCCGCACCACTCACCTGCTCTGCCGCACCACTCACCTGCTCTGCCGCACCACTCACCTGCTCTGCCGCACCCCCCCAACTCACCTGCTCTGCCGCACCACTCACGCTGCTCTGCCGCACCACTCACCCTGCTCTGCTGCACCACTACACCTGCTCTGCCGCACCACTCACCTGCTCTGCCGCACCACTCACCTGCTCTGCTGCACCACATCACCTGCTCTGCCGCACCACTCACCTGCTCTGCCGCACCACTCACCTGCTCCTGCTGCACCACTCACCTGCTCTGCCGCACCACTCACCTGCTCTGCCGCACCACTCACCTGCTCTGCTGCACCACTCACCTGCTCTGCCGCACCACTCACCTGCTCTGGCCGCACCACTCACCTGCTCTGCTGCACCACTCACCTGCTCTGCTGCACCACTCACCTGCGCTGCCGCACCACTCACCTACTCTGCTGCACCACTCACCTGCTCTGCTGCACCACTCACCTGCTCTGCTGCACCACTCACCTTGCTCTGCTGCACCACTCACCTGCTCTGCCGCACCACTCACCTTCTCTGCCGCACCACTCACCTGCTCTGCTGCACCACTCACCTGCTCTGCCGCACCACTCACCTGCTCTGCCGCACCACTCACCTGCTCTGCTGCACCACTCACCTGCTCTGCCGCACCACTCACCTGCTCTGCCGCACCACTCACCTGCTCTGCCGCACCACTCACCTGCTCTGCCGCACCACTCACCTGCTCTGCTGCACCACTCACCTGCTGCGCACCACTCACCTGCTCTGCCGCACCACTCACCTGCTCTGCTGCACCACTCACCTGCTCTGCTGCACCACTCACCTGCTCTGCCTGCACCACTCACCTGCTCTGCTGCACCACTCACCTGCTCTGCCGCACCACTCACCTGCTCTGCTGCACCACTCACCTGCTCTGCTGCACCACTCACCTGCTCTGCCGCCCACTCACCTGCTCTGCTGCACCACTCACCTGCTCTGCCGCACCACTCACCTGCTCTGCTGCACCACTCACCTGCTCTGCCGCACCACTCACCTGCTCTGCTGCACCACTCACCTGCTCTGCTGCACCACTCACCTGCTCTGCTGCACCACTCACCTGCTCTGCTGCACCACTCACCTGCTCTGCCGCACCACTCACCTGCTCTGCCGCACCACTCACCTGCTCTGCTGCACCACTCACCTGCTCTGCCGCACCACTCACCTGCTCTGCTGCACCACTCACTTGCTCTGCTGCACCACTCACCTGCTCTGCTGCACCACTCACCTGCTCTGCCGCACCACTCACCTGCTCTGCCGCACCACTCACCTGCTCTGCTGCACCACTCACCTGCTCTGCCGCACCACTCACCTGCTCTGCTGCACCACTCACCTGCTCTGCTGCACCACTCACCTGCTCTGCTGCACCACTCACCTGCTCTGCCGCACCACTCACCTGCTCTGCCGCACCACTCACCTGCTCTGCTGCACCACTCACCTGCTCTGCCGCACCACTCACCTGCTCTGCCGCACCACTCACCTGCTCTGCTGCACCACTCACCTGCTCTGCTGCACCACTCACCTGCTCTGCCGCACCACTCACCTGCTCTGCTGCACCACTCACCTGCTCTGCTGCACCACTCACCTGCTCTGCTGCACCCACTCACACTGCTCTGCCGCACCACTCACCTGCTCTGCCGACACCACTCACCTGCTCTGCCGCACCACTCACCTGCTCTGCCGCACCACTCACCTGCTCTGCTGCACCACTCACCTGCTCTGCCGCACCACTCACCTGCTCTGCTGCACCACTCACCTGCTCTGCTGCACCACTCACCTGCTCTGCCGCACCACTCACCTGCTCTGCTGCACCACTCACCTGCTCTGCCGCACCACTCACCTGCTCTGCTGCACCACTCACCTGCTCTGCCGCACCACTCACCTGCTCTGCCGCTCCACTCACCTGCTCTGCTGCACCACTCACCTGCTCTGCCGCACCACTCACCTGCTCTGCTGCACCACTCACCTGCTCTGCTGCACCACTCACCTGCTCTGCTGCACCACTCACCTGCTCTGCCGCACCACTCACCTGCTCTGCTGCACCACTCACCTGCTCTGCCGCACCACTCACCTGCTCTGCTGCACCACTCACCTGCTCTGCTGCACCACTCACCTGCTCTGCTGCACCACTCACCTGCTCTGCTGCACCACTCACCTGCTCTGCTGCCACCACTCCACCCTGCTCTGCTGCACCACTCACCTGCTCTGCTGCACCACTCACCTGCTCTGCCGCATCCACTCACCTGCTCTGCTGCACCACTCACCTGCTCTGCCGCACCACTCACCTGCTCTGCTGCACCACTCACCTGCTCTGCTGCACCACTCACCTGCTCTGCTGCATCCACTCACCTGCTCTGCCGCTACCACTCACCTGCTCTGCTGCACCACTCACCTGCTCTGCCTGCACCACTCACCTGCTCTGCTGCACCACTCACCTGCTCTGCTGCACCACTCACCTGCTCTGCTGCACCACTCACCTGCTCTGCTGCACCACTCACCTGCTCTGCTGCACCACTCACCTGCTCTGCCTGCACCACTCACCTGCTCTGCCGCACCACTCACCTGCTCTGCCGCACCACTCACCTGCTCTGCCGCACCACTCACCTGCTCTGCCGCACCACTCACCTGCTCTGCCCACCACTCACCTGCTCTGCCGCACCACTCACCTGCTCTGCCGCACCACTCACCTGCTCTGCCGCACCACTCATCTGCTCTGCCGCACCACTCACCTGCTCTGCCGCACCACTCACCTGCTCTGCCGCACCACTCACCTGCTCTGCCGCACCACTCACCTGCTCTGCCGCACCACTCACCTGCTCTGCTGCACCACTCACCTGCTCTGCCGCACCACTCACCTGCTCTGCTGCACCACTCACCTGCTCTGCTGCACCACTCACCTGCTCTGCCGCACCACTCACCTGCTCTGCTGCACCACTCACCTGCTCTGCCGCACCACTCACCTGCTCTGCCGCACCACTCACCTGCTCTGCTGCACCACTCACCTGCTCTGCCGCACCACTCACCTGCTCTGCTGCACCACTCACCTGCTCTGCCGCACTACTCACCTGCTCTGCTGCACCACTCACCTGCTCTGCTGCACCACTCACCTGCTCTGCTGCACCACTCACCTGCTCTGCTGCACCACTCACCTGCTCTGCCGCACCACTCACCTGCTCTGCTGCACCACTCACCTGCTCTGCTGCACCACTCACCTGCTCTGCTGCACCACTCACCTGCTCTGCTGCACCACTCACCTGCTCTGATGCACCACTCACCTGCTCTGCTGCACCACTCACCTGCTCTGCTGCACCACTCACCTGCTCTGCTGCACCACTCACCTGCTCTGCCGCACCACTCACCTGCTCTGCTGCACCACTCACCTGCTCTGCTGCACCACTCACCTGCTCTGCTGCACCACTCACCTGCTCTGCTGCACCACTCACCTGCTCTGCCGCACCAGTCACCTGCTCTGCTGCACCACTCACCTGCTCTGCCGCACCAGTCACCTGCTCTGCTGCACCACTCACCTGCTCTGCCGCACCACTCACCTGCTCTGCCGCACCACTCACCTGCTCTGCCGCACTACTCACCTGCTCTGCCGCACCACTCACCTGCTCTGCCGCACCACTCACCTGCTCTGCCGCACCACTCACCTTCTCTGCCGCACCACTCACCTGCTCTGCCGCACCACTCACCTGCTCTGCCGCACCACTCACCTGCTCTGCTGCACCACTCACCTGCTCTGCTGCACCACTCACCTGCTCTGCCGCACCACTCACCTGCTCTGCCGCACCACTCACCTGCTCTGCCGCACCACTCAGCTGCTCTGCTGCACCACTCACCTGCTCTGCCGCACCACTCACCTGCTCTGCCGCACCACTCACCTGCTCTGCCGCACCACCCACCTGCTCTGCCGCACCACTCAGCTGCTCTGCCGCACCACTCACCTGCTCTGCCGCACCACTCACCTGCTCTGCCGCACCACTCACCTGCTCTGCTGCACCACTCACCTGCTCTGCCGCACCACTCACCTGCTCTGCCGCACCACTCACCTGCTCTGCCGCACCACTCACCTGCTCTGCCGCACCACTCACCTGCTCTGCCGCACCACTCACCTGCTCTGCCGCACCACTCACCTGCTCTGCCGCACCACTCACCTGCTCTGCCGCACCACCCACCTGCTCTGCCGCACCACTCACCTGCTCTGCCGCACCACTCACCTGCTCTGCCGCACCACTCACCTGCTCTGCCGCACCACTCACCTGCTCTGCCGCACCACTCACCTGCTCTGCTGCACCACTCACCTGCTCTGTCGCACCACTCACCTGCTCTGCCGCACCACTCACCTGCTCTGCTGCACCACTCACCTGCTCTGCCGCACCACTCACCTGCTCTGCCGCACCACTCACCTGCTCTGCTGCACCACTCACCTGCTCTGCCGCACCACTCACCTGCTCTGCCGCACCACTCACCTGCTCTGCCGCACCACTCACCTGCTCTGTCGCACCACTCACCTGCTCTGCTGCACCACTCACCTGCTCTGCCGCACCACTCACCTGCTCTGCCGCACCACTCACCTGCTCTGCTGCACCACTCACCTGCTCTGTCGCACCACTCACCTGCTCTGCTGCACCACTCACCTGCTCTGCCGCACCACTCACCTGCTCTGCTGCACCACTCACCTGCTCTGCCGCACCACTCACCTGCTCTGCCGCACCACTCACCTGCTCTGCCGCACCACTCACCTGCTCTGCCGCACCACTCACCTGCTCTGCTGCACCACATCTCTTTTAAACACAAAGCCATGGACAGCCCAGTGCCACTGCCAGCTCTGCTGTTGAAACAGAAAAGCTAGACAAACATTGAAAACACAGCAGAGCATCAACAAACACAAGCACGAGGCGCAACAGCAGCTGCTCACCTGTAGGGATGCCACTGCTAGCTCCGCTGCTCTAGCCAAGTCGTGAGGATACTTCTGATGAAAGGAGGGAGAGAGGGAGGGAAGGAGGGAGGGAAAGAGGGAGAGAGGGAGGGAAGGAGGGAGGGAAAGAGGGAGAGAGGGAGGATGGAAGGTGTGTGAGGGAGAGAATGGAAGGAGAGGAGCTGAGAGAATAAGGAGCAGATTGAGTCAATGTAGGGAAGGAGGGAGGGAAAGAGGGAGAGAGGGAGGGAAGGAGGGAGGGAAAGAGGGAGAGAGGGGGGAAAGGAAAGTGTGTGAGGGAGAGAATGGAAGGAGAGGAGCTGAGAGAATGAGGAGCAGATTGAGTCAATGACTCAATGTAACCAGAAGAGTGAGATGTAACCAGCACTGTGAGATGTAACCAGCACTGTGAGATGTAACCAGCACTATCAGATGTAACCAGCACTGCACTGTGAGATGTAACCAGCACTGTCAGATGTAACCAGCACTGTGAGATGTAACCAGCACTGTGAGATGTTACCAGCACTGTGAGATGTAACCAGCACTGTGAGATGTAACCAGCACTGTGAGATGTAACCAGCACTGTGAAATGTAACTAGCACTGTGAGATGTAACCAGCACTGTGAAATGTAACCAGCACTGTGAAATGTAACCAGCACTGTGAAATGTAACCAGCACTGTGAGATGCAGCACCGTGCTGCAACTGCCCCACTCACATGTGACCATCCAAGCAGCAATGCTGTCATCAAATCTCCTGTTCCCTCCATGTGGGATGGCATGTGGGTTCGAATGTAGGACTGAGACGCAATGAGATGCTTGCCATGCGGCAACGGATTACATGAGACCATCCAAGCAGCAATGCTGCCATGTGATGCTCTGCCGCACAACTCACCTGCTCTGCTGCACCACTCACCTGCTCTGCCGCACCACTCACCTGCTCTGCTGCACCACTCACCTGCTCTGCCGCACCACTCACCTGCTCTGCCGCACCACTCACCTGCTCTGCCGCACCACTCACCTGCTCTGCCGCACCACTCACCTGCTCTGCCGCACCACTCACCTGCTCTGCCGCACCACTCACCTGCTCTGCCGCACCACTCACCTGCTCTGCCGCACCACTCACCTGCTCTGCCGCACCACTCACCTGCTCTGCCGCACCACTCACCTGCTCTGCCGCACCACTCACCTGCTCTGCCGCACCACTCACCTGCTCTGCCGCACCACTCACCTGCTCTGCCGCACCACTCACCTGCTCTGCCGCACCACTCACCTGCTCTGCCGCACCACTCACCTGCTCTGCCGCATCACTCACCTGCTCTGCCGCACCACTCACCTGCTCTGCCGCACCACTCACCTGCTCTGCCGCACCACTCACCTGCTCTGCCGCACCACTCACCTGCTCTGCCGCACCACTCACCTGCTCTGCCGCACCACTCACCTGCTCTGCCGCACCACTCACCTGCTCTGCCGCACCACTCACCTGCTCTGCCGCACCACTCACCTGCTCTGCCGCACCACTCACCTGCTCTGCCGCACCACTCACCTGCTCTGCCGCACCACTCACCTGCTCTGCCGCACCACTCACCTGCTCTGCCGCACCACTCACCTGCTCTGCCGCACCACTCACCTGCTCTGCCGCACCACTCACCTGCTCTGCCGCACCACTCACCTGCTCTGCCGCACCACTCACCTGCTCTGCCGCACCACTCACCTGCTCTGCCGCACCACTCACCTGCTCTGCCGCACCACTCACCTGCTCTGCCGCACCACTCACCTGCTCTGCCGCACCACTCACCTGCTCTGCCGCACCACTCACCTGCTCTGCCGCACCACTCACCTGCTCTGCCGCACCACTCACCTGCTCTGCCGCACCACTCACCTGCTCTGCCGCACCACTCACCTGCTCTGCCGCACCACTCACCTGCTCTGCCGCACCACTCACCTGCTCTGCCGCACCACTCACCTGCTCTGCCGCACCACTCACCTGCTCTGCCGCACCACTCACCTGCTCTGCCGCACCACTCACCTGCTCTGCCGCACCAGTCACCTGCTCTGCCGCACCACTCACCTGCTCTGCTGCACCACTCACCTGCTCTGCCGCACCACTCACCTGCTCTGCCGCACCACTCACCTGCTCTGCCGAACCACTCACCTGCTCTGCCGCACCACTCACCTGCTCTGCCGCACCACTCACCTGCTCTGCCGCACCACTCACCTGCTCTGCCGCACCACTCACCTGCTCTGCCGCACCACTCACCTGCTCTGCCGCACCACTCACCTGCTCTGCCGCACCACTCACCTGCTCTGCCGCACCACTCACCTGCTCTGCCGCACCACTCACCTGCTCTGCCGCACCACTCACCAGCTCTGCCACACCACTCACCTGCTCTGCCGCACCACTCACCTGCTCTGCCGCACCACTCACCTGCTCTGCCGCACCACTCACCTGCTCTGCCACACCACTCACCTGCTCTGCTGCACCACTCACCAGCTCTGCTGCACCACTCACCTGCTCTGCCGCACCACTCACCTGCTCTGCCGCACCACTCACCTGCTCTGCCGCACAACTCACCTGCTCTGCCGCACCACTCACCTGCTCTGCTGCACCACTCACCTGCTCTGCCGCACCACTCACCTGCTCTGCCGCACCACTCACCTGCTCTGCCGCACCACTCACCTGCTCTGCTGCACCACTCACCTGCTCTGCCGCACCACTCAGCTGCTCTGCTGCACCACTCACCTGCTCTGCCGCACCACTCACCTGCTCTGCTGCACCACTCACCTGCTCTGCCGCACTACTCACCTGCTCTGCCGCACCACTCACCTGCTCTGCCGCACCACTCACCTGCTCTGCCGCACCACTCACCTGCTCTGCTGCACCACTCACTGCCTGCCCCTCACCTGCTCTGCCGCACCACTCACCTGCTCTGCCGCACCACTCACCTGCTCTGCCGCACCACTCACCTGCTCTGCCGCACCACTCACCTGCTCTGCCGCACCACTCACCTGCTCTGCTGCACCACTCACCTGCTCTGCTGCACCACTCACCTGCTCTGCCGCACCACTCACCTGCTCTGCCGCACCACTCACCTGCTCTGCTGCACCACTCACCTGCTCTGCTGCACCACTCACCTGCTCTGCCTGCACCACTCACCTGCTCTGCCGCACCACTCACCTGCTCTGCCGCACCACTCACCTGCTCTGCCGCACCACTCACCTGCTCTGCCGCACCACTCACCTGCTCTGCCGCACCACTCACCTGCTCTGCCGCACCACTCACCTGCTCTGCCGCACCACTCACCTGCTCTGCCGCACCACTCACCTGCTCTGCCGCACCACTCACCTGCTCTGCCGCACCACTCACCTGCTCTGCCGCACCACTCACCTGCTCTGCCGCACCACTCACCTGCTCTGCCGCACACTCACCTGCTCTGCCGCACCACTCACCTGCTCTGCCGCACCACTCACCTGCTCTGCCGCACCACTCACCTGCTCTGCCGCACCACTCACCTGCTCTGCCGCACCACTCACCTGCTCTGCCGCACCACTCACCTGCTCTGCCGCACCACTCACCTGCTCTGCCGCACCACTCACCTGCTCTGCCGCACCACTCACCTGCTCTGCCGCACCACTCACCTGCTCTGCCGCACCACTCACCTGCTCTGCCGCACCACTCACCTGCTCTGCCGCACCACTCACCTGCTCTGCCGCACCACTCACCTGCTCTGCCGCACCACTCACCTGCTCTGCCGCACCACTCACCTGCTCTGCCGCACCACTCACCTGCTCTGCCGCACCACTCACCTGCTCTGCCGCACCACTCACCTGCTCTGCCGCACCACTCACCTGCTCTGCCGCACCACTCACCTGCTCTGCCGCACCACTCACCTGCTCTGCCGCACCACTCACCTGCTCTGCCGCACCACTCACCTTCTCTGCCGCACCACTCACCTGCTCTGCCGCACCACTCACCTGCTCTGCCGCACCACTCACCTGCTCTGCCGCACCACTCACCTGCTCTGCCGCACCACTCACCTGCTCTGCTGCACCACTCACCTGCTCTGCCGCACCACTCACCTGCTCTGCCGCACCACTCACCTGCTCTGCCGCACCACTCACCTGCTCTGCCGCACCACTCACCTGCTCTGCTGCACCACTCACCTGCTCTGCTGCACCACTCACCTGCTCTGCCGCACCACTCACCTGCTCTGCCGCACCACTCACCTGCTCTGCTGCACCACTCACCTGCTCTGCTGCACCACTCACCTGCTCTGCTGCACCACTCACCTGCTCTGCCGCACCACTCACCTGCTCTGCCGCACCACTCACCTGCTCTGCCGCACCACTCACCTGCTCTGCTGCACCACTCACCTGCTCTGCCGCACCACTCACCTGCTCTGCCGCACCACTCACCTGCTCTGCCGCACCACTCACCTGCTCTGCCGCACCACTCACCTGCTCTGCCGCACCACCCACCTGCTCTGCCGCACCACTCACCTGCTCTGCCGCACCACTCAACTGCTCTGCCGCACCACTCACCTGCTCTGCCGCACCACTCACCTGCTCTGCTGCACCACTCACCTGCTCTGCTGCACCACTCACCTGCTCTGCTGCACCACTCACCTGCTCTGCTGCACCACTCACCTGCTCTGCTGCACCACTCACCTGCTCTGCTGCACCACTCACCTGCTCTGCCGCACCACCCACCTGCTCTGCCGCACCACTCACCTGCTCTGCCGCACCACTCACCTGCTCTGCCGCACCACCCACGTGCTCTGCCGCACCACTCACCTGCTCTGCTGCACCACTCACCTGCTCTGCCGCACCACTCACCTGCTCTGCCGCACCACTCACCTGCTCTGCCGCACCACTCACCTGCTCTGCCGCACCACTCACCTGCTCTGCCGCACCACTCACCTGCTCTGCCGCACCACTCACCTGCTCTGCTGCACCACTCACCTGCTCTGCCGCACCACTCACCTGCTCTGCCGCACCACTCACCTGCTCTGCTGCACCACTCACCTGCTCTGCCGCACCACTCACCTGCTCTGCTGCACCACTGACCTGCTCTGCTGCACCACTCACCTGCTCTGCCGCACCACTCACCTGCTCTGCCGCACCACTCACCTGCTCTGCCGCACCACTCACCTGCTCTGCCGCACCACTCACCTGCTCTGCTGCACCACTCACCTGCTCTGCCGCACCACTCACCTGCTCTGCCGCACCACTCACCTGCTCTGCTGCACCACTCACCTGCTCTGCCGCACCACTCACCTGCTCTGCCGCACCACTCACCTGCTCTGCCGCACCCCGCACCACTCACCTGCTCTGCCGCACCACTCACCTGCTCTGCTGCACCACTCACCTGCTCTGCTGCACCACTCACCTGCTCTGCCGCACCACTCACCTGCTCTGCCGCACCACTCACCTGCTCTGCTGCACCACTCACCTGCTCTGCTGCACCACTCACCTGCTCTGCTGCACCACTCACCTGCTCTGCTGCACCACTCACCTGCTCTGCTGCACCACTCACCTGCTCTGCTGCACCACTCACCTGCTCTGCTGCACCACTCACCTGCTCTGCTGCACCACTCACCTGCTCTGCTGCACCACTCACCTGATCTGCCGCACCACTCACCTGCTCTGCCGCACCACTCACCTGCTCTGCTGCACCACTCACCTGCTCTGCTGCACCACTCACCTGCTCTGCTGCACCACTCACCTGCTCTGCCGCACCACTCACCTGCTCTGCTGCACCACTCACCTGCTCTTCCGCACCACTCACCTGCTCTGCCGCACCACTCACCTGCTCTGCCGCACCACTCACCTGCTCTGCCGAACCACTCAC